TACCAATGCGTAATGGGATAGAAAATAGTTTTCATGGAAAACGAATGAAGCTGGTAGCAGCACCCTATTGGCTGACATCAAGGATTATAATGTAAAATTATCCAATGTGGTTGAGCGTTAGACACTAGAATACGCCAAATCAGCGCGCAATGCTCGAGTATACAACACATCGTCCAAATGTCCTACATAATCCATTGTTTCACAACTACATACAAATGGGTTACGTAGAAACAAACTGTATTTTAGCACAATCCTAATATATTGACTACTGAACCTTTAATTTCATTTTTCTCATTTTTGTCACGTTTTTCATTATTCTGATAACATATCTGAATATTGATCATTATAATTCAATTTTTATTGCATTTTCAAGAAGAATAGACTGTAAATTCGAACAATGTGAATTATGATTCACAACTCTATTTTTGCGCCATATTCTAATAAGAAAACCTAGGAATCTAACGTCTGATTTGGAATATGATTTATAATTTGAAAAACTAATGCATCTTAAAAGATATGGACTTTGAGTAAAAAATCATGTCCTTGTAAAAGCTAGGTAACTGTTGTAAAATAGGCAGAACGTTTCAAAATCTTTTCACACCGAGCATTGTCATTTAATGAGGAAACACACTTATACTAACTACAAAACGTAGATGTCTTTCATTCGGAGTCTGTAAACGTCAACTTCAGTTTACACCACACTTGATGAAAACAATCTTTTGACAAGAAATAAAACGTTCACAGTTGATGTTGTGTTTAGTGATAGCCCTGCGTTGATCCCGATATCGTTTTAACATGTAATTAGTATAAAATGAAGGAATGGATAGTTTCTGATCTGCCTACGCAATAATTGAATGTACATAAAAAAAAAACAGTGCCAGGTAAAAATAGATTCATTTAATACTTCCATTCGCCAAATACGATGATAGAATACTACACGCAGGTAACCATGGTTACCCTTATAAGTTAATGCATACGACGTATGGCACAGTTGTCTAATTTAGTTCGTCGTAATTGTTTTTCAAGTTGTATATTTTCATCACAGTTTAAAAAAACGAATAATTATCTTAAATATCACCACTCCGGTAAAATACACAATTTTTGTAGTTTACTGGTATGCATACCCTCTACTTCTTTCTATCTGCTAATCGAAACCTTTGTCGTTATTTTTTCAAAATTGCATTTAACTCTTTAGTTCATATTATTTCATGCTCACTTTGAAAACTTTGAAATGAAATATTGCGTTATAGAAGGGAAATCAACATGAGTTCTTGGCTCTGATGGCATATTTAGGATATGCAAAAAAATGGAAAGAAACCTACTGAATTGCATAAAATACGAGAAGGAAAAAGTATACATGCAAACTAGTATAAAATATCTATTGAACGGTTCGATTATGCAGTCATTAGAATATGACTAAGATTCCTGAAAACCTGAAGCGATGCTGACACTCAGGAAAGAAATAGTTTCTATAAGAGGAACAACATTCGATGGACTGTTTTATTAATCTTGTGCAGTAATTCTGATACGAAACTGTCTAGTCTGGCTCGAATACCCAACGAGGTGAGTGAATTTAAAATTTTATACTCTGAGTATAGTAGTACATCTTGAAAAATAATTGCGTTCATTAAATAAATTTGCGGCAGTTGCGATCCTCCCGATTTTCAGACAACGGTTGCCTGAACCACCTAATATATTCCTTAAAGCATATTAAATTATTTCAAAACGCCTACTCTTAACCTGGTTCTTCGTTTAAAATTGGTCTGTGGTATAGACCTAGTTCTTTTGATTTTGAAGTTAGTAAAGTAATTGCTAAAGTATTCTAGGGCTGATATCGTCTTTTATGATTCCACCAGCAAGTTTGCATACACAACCTTTTATTTCAGACTATTCACTTATAATATATTTTACTTTCATTTCATTAATAGATGAATTCATCAGTCCTCATTCTACTACTTGTTGTCATCGGCTTCGGTGATGCTTGGAGAAGACGTCGTTACTCTAGTTCCGATAGCTCCCACATTCATCAACACCATCATTACCACTACTCCATCGGGTAAGCCAGAGTATTATTAAGTTTACCGTATGTTAACAAAGTCATCAAAAATTACACCATAATATAAATTACACTAGAGACATTTTTTTAAAATTTTCCCCTGATTTCCTCTTTTGTAATATATTGTCACCACACTTTGTGCGGACGAAACCCAATATGTACTGGTGTAGATAGCTGGCTATGCCTTTATGTCTCGTTTTTGAGGAGCAAAGATCAACTTGACTTAGAAATCATGCATCAAGTAGAATACTATCTTTACTCAACATTTAGAGATCAAGAAGGAGTTGACGGTGCGAAGATTACCAGAGATCAACTGGAGAATCAAGGTACGTCAAATGCAGCATATGTTCAAGTTGTAATATATACATTTGACAGCTCTGCAGTAAATACAGAAATATATATATATATAATGATAGATTAGTCTATAGCTAATTGTAAACCCAACTGATGACACAATTCATCTACCGCTGATTACAAATTTGAACTAAAATGAGTAATTAGTATAATAGCAAATTTTTAAAAACTGTTTGTTTTTGCATTCCAACAAAATTGCATTCCAACATTTAATGTTTCTCTTGAACATGGTTTATATAAAGCTATACACTAGTGAGCAGAGCTCGTAAATACCACAAAACTACTTCATAGCGCAACGAATTGATATTTTATCTTCTGAACGTAAATTCAATCAAAAGCTCGCTTTGACTGATTCTCACATTCCATTGTTCTATATATTTTCAAAGCTGAAGCAAGAATCGAAGATAATGAGTCTAATGAAGGGAAGGGGTATGGTGATCCCTTCCAAGACGAATTGCATCAACAGTAACCCCATATGAACAATTTCTCTGACTCGGAAAGGACTCGAAATTTTGCAAATTATGCAAATTGCCACTTTTCTTCTTTATTTGTGATCAATAAACGTTTATCGATTCATTATTTGTTGTCTTGTATTTTTTGTTTTTCAAATTTGAATTCGGCAGTACACAAGTAGGAAATTGGTTTGATTTTTGAAAATAAAACTTTATGTTTTGTTTTCGAGTTCGATTCCGTTCTCCGATCGATTAGATTCAAAAACTTTCTATTTAGTATTCATCAAAAATTAATTCGAAATGGCAAAATTACTATATATATTTGTATTTTTGACACAAATTTCAGCAAATTAATATGTGAAAATTGTATTTCAGTACGAAATATTTTTGAAGTAAACTCATCTTTCGCGAAAATTAGAATGAGACTCGGGCGCCACTGGGCCGTATGTTGTGCGTGGTTGCATGAGCGCCAGCTGACAGCAGAATATGGAAATTCAAATGTTTCGCAAATAAATTTAAGCGTTTCAACAAATTTTCCAATTTCAATTGAAAGTTAAAACAAGTTTATAAGAACGAAGAAAAACAAATTTAAAAAATTAAGTTGCAAAATGAAAAGCAAGTACAAAAATACGAACAAAAATTAAAATGGTAGATTTTGTCCCTTAAAACAGATTTATGTGGCCGCAAAGGATCTTTATCAAATATGCTTGGGACATATTCAGATGGCACCCAGTAAGCCTTGCATGAATGCACCGTACATCTAAAAATAAATCACTGTTTCTCAGGAATTTATTCGGTTATCATCAGTTTGTAAACTATTTGATGACGACTTGCACGTGAATCTTTTGATTCTGATAAGCGAGGTCGGTATCAGCGGCCTTACCAAACTCTTTCTATTCGCAATTTCGAGTTCTGCACAGACATCAACATGGCGAGTTGCTGGTGCTAAAGCTACGTGAAGATTAGCACTTGCGTTGTATTTGTCTGCATTGAGTTGTTAATCTGGGCTTGGTGTCAATGCTATACCTTCAGACATCAAACATAGTATTGGACTGCTGTTAACAATGTCAGAACAGGTTTTTATTGTAATTTGTCCAGCATTAACTGTACCATTCTAGGGTCTTTTTCTTATATATTGTATTCTGTCATAATTTCATGACACTTTGCTTTGTTACTCTTATATGATATACTTTGTGGTCGCTCGGACATGTCGGCGAGGCAACAAATAACACATGAATTTTTGTATTTCAAGAGAAAATTGGGAATTAGCGTGATGATTATCTGTTTTAATAGGGTTCGTGTTGTGATACTTGCGTTTCGACATTGGCCTTTCAAATTCAAGAAGATTATACTGGTCCACTATGTAATTCGAATTGCATTAAATCATATTACGTCAACCAATCACATTTCTTGGTTTAAAAGAGAAATATTATCTACATCGGATGGGTTGTGTTTTCAGAGTATCTTGTTTTACGTCAACTGCTGTGCTCTACATGCATTTCTTTATCTGAACCCATTTATTCACTTTCAGTAAATGACTTTTGACAGTATAGGGTTGATTTTTATTGTCTATCACTCGAATAGAATTTCGTTTTTCTCTTCACAAAATATTGTGCGCGAGACAGTTGTCCACTCACATATCTCAAATATATATGCCCAGCTGTTTTATTTATATGTGATGCAACTCTTCAACATGAGATTTCGTCGCAGAGAACGATTCTTAAGTCTCAAACATTTCAAGGTAAGTCGAAATATCACAAACGCATGTTGGCGCCGGAAAGTGCATTGCTCTGATTTTACACCTGCCCAGTCAGCGTTGTAGCGTAGTATATAAAAATATGAATTGGTGCCCAAATCGATATTTAAATTCAGGGCACACACGCGTCAAACTTAAATGATGATAAGTGATGATAAAATAGGAAAATGATGATCAAAAGTGATAAGAAAAGAGAAGTAAAGACTCTCATAATGAAATTTACGTTGAAACTAGGTGAAGGACCTTTTCTTCATTAAAATTAATAGTTTGGTAAAATATTCTAAAATGTATTTCAGTCTTCTTGCCTAGTTACTTGCCCCCTATTTTTATAAAACAACCAATGCCATGCATTCTGTGTATATTTGGATAATATTGGGTCAGATATAAAAAAAAAAAAGAATCGTTGTCGATATCGGAACAGGTTTGTGTCTCGTCGTGGAGGTATCATTTACGTGCTTGAAAATGATAAATTGATAACGGGCAGATTTCAACAGGCGTAATAATTTTTGTAAACATTAACTCAATATGAAAAAAATAAACAAAACCAGCAATTATTGTGGCCAAAAAATAAAACTAGATTAACGGTTCAGCAATTCAAAACGGTGATAAAACGGATGTTACTGGATACTAACATTATCATTTTCAAGCAAATAAATTTATATTAATTAAGTTATTTCTTCCTTTTATGCGTGTTTGCATCCCTGTCCAACATGTTGATCTGACTAGCGGCCATATCCATGAACTTATTTTGTACTGCTTCGTCAACTGTAAAGTAATTGCAGTTGAAAATAACAAATTTCAAGGAAACGAGTAAGCGAGCGCTTATATCGCAAATAGAAAAGTACGTTTGGAGAAATAATTTTTGATTTAGGTGCTGGTTGAGTATTATTACTTTTGACCTGCTATTAAATAGTCTTGAACGACCTATTTTTCAATTTTGGCATATTCACAATGCTTTATGATGTACTATCTAATTTTAGGGATTATAAGTTCAAACTCATTAAAAACTGTACATTATATTGTTTTTATCAGCTGGAAATAAAAACGATTAACTCTGAGCAGGATTTCAACTAGTTATTGGCGATGTTTGTCAATGGGTGAATAAAAGTGAAATGAACATTTTTGGATGTATTTTGATATTACTGGAAACTTACCAAGTTTCTCTACCAGTTCTGCATCACAGCTACACTTTTTTTCTTGTTGTATTGGTTTATACTTATTTTGAGATACCCAAGCATCAGAGAATGCTACGATTGTGAACAGGAGCAGCAGAATGAAAGTAATTGAGCGCATATTCTGTAAATGAAAGTGGATGTTTATTCATGTTGTCAACCATTAGATGGATTCACTACTGCCGTAGTTTAATAGTTCACAAGATTTCACCAAATGCAAAATACATATGCAACAACCATGCTTATTCAATCATATTATAATTGCAGAAAATTAACAGATTGAAGGTTTCGGCTTACACACTACATTCAACACTTATATAAGAGTGAAATAGTTTGTATCGATTATGTGTAACATATGTGTAACTAAAATAGTGTAAATAATTCAATCAATTCGCACTTTTGGCTTAGTATTAGAATTTCTTTCAGTTAAATTATCAACTGAAACATACCTCAGTTTGTTGAATATCGTTTGCAGTAATGTTGGGTTGGTACTCTCGTCGGTGATAAGAAAGCATTTGCAATCTCTCATTTATATACACATTTGATTTCCTGTACAGATTTTTTCATTCTCGACACTTTTGTCATTTTCTTTTCTGATGGCGCAAAATTGTGATAGACTAGGTTTTAATAGTAAATATAAAACGTTTCAATTACTTTGAATCAGTTTTCATAAAATCACAAAACGTCCGTTTGAAGACAAACAACAATGCGAGTCATAGTGCAGGCTTGGTTCGACAGAAAATTACAATTTGGTTTATTTGGGTTCAGAATTTGCAATTTGTGCGTTTTGAAATCTTTTTCCGGCCGAGGAAAAGTGAAAGATTGTGAAGGCCATTTCAAGTACTAAATTAACTATATTTACGATGCGACACAGATAATAACGCATGATGATCCGATTAAAGTTCCTGAAAACATTCCGTTGCCCCCAAAAAGTGTGTTAAAATCGGAAAATCAAGAACTAATCTTGGTGCATAGTGTACGGTTTTTGATATATATATATATGATATACCGCGTGGGAAAGGGGGTCAGAGAAATAAGTAAAGTATAAAATTGTTGGTATATTTTGAAACATCAGTTTGGTGACTATATCTGTAGAATGATGAAAAAAAAATTTACCGTCTTTATGGAGAAGGTTAGACAAGGAAGGCTGCATGAAAGAAACATGCGAAAAATATGAGCATTCTTATTGAATCTTCCGAAAGACATTCACTCATATAAAAACATTGATAAAATGTGTGTATGACACATGTTTTGCGCTTTTACAGTCAAATGGAGCGAATGGAGGCGACCTGGATTCAATAAAATATGCATTGGTTAAAAAATTCCTGTAACATGGCTAATACATAAATTTTATTTCAAATAACCATGTACAGACCCTAATTTTTTCAAGTTGAGCAGCTGTTTCATCTGCAGTATTTAATTGAAAAAATTCAACCAATTTCCCTTTAAAAATTAGTTTCCAAGCTGGATTCGTATAAAGTGGCTTGACTTCAATATAATCAGAAAAACAGAAGCATGTGAAGACCTCCAAAAATTATAGAATTCCTATCAAATGAATGAAGGATATTTTGAATTTTATTTACTTGTAACCGTGTATATGTTCCTTTATCAGAATATTATTACTCGAGTACAGATATTTCAGTAAATAGAAGGGCAGGGGTTACATTTGCCAGGTATAGAGAACAAGAATTAGAATAAAAGCTTTCCTATTTTGATAGACTGAACTAAGCAATGAAATACGATAAATGTGTAAGATCAACAGCTCACCTTATGTTCTATTGTTATTAGTTATAAACCGGCATAATACCGACTGTTAAAATCTGTGATTACTGTTTTGAATAAAACATACACAAATTATCAATTTGCTGACCTTATTTAAAAATAGCCTTGCGATTTACAACACAATCGGGTTTAAGAGAAGTAATTGTGCGTGTTACAAATATTATAGGAAATAAAAATAGTTGAAAGAGCGTTTGAATATTTTGCCTACTTTTATTATTAATAACTAAAGTTCGAATCATTCATTTGATAAATTATTGTGAGTTCGTCTTCGTCTCAAAACTGTTCAATCCCCTCACGATTTTTTCACGGATGATGACTACGATTTTGATTTCTTGTTCATCTGCCTCATTTGCCACATATATGGAGGGCATAATATCAGGTGCTCAATTGATTTTAATGAGCAACCTATATAATAAAAAAATTTCGTTCTCCGTAGTTCCATTGCCTGCAAACTTTATTCTCAGTCACAAGGTGTTTTTGTTTTCTTGTGCATGAACTGTTCGATTATAAAGGTATTTGAATGTACTTCGAATTCTAACTATTTGTAATTGGGTAACAGGCCGTATAACCTGAAGATAACCGACAAACCTTGTCAACTTAATGGCAGTTTCACAGGACAGCGAGATAGTTGATCGTTAAATTTCTAATACCATGAAAATGAAGCGAAATTTGCCTCGCCTCTGGCGTTACCACCGTAAATCGAGATAGATTGGAAGGAGTAAAAATGACAAGTTTCGATTCCCTAACATGTCTGTTACTATTGAGTTCAGCGATACATATAGGGTGATAGACATCGAAAACTCTCATCATGACAAGTTAGGCAAAAAAACAACATGAAATGAGAATCATATCCATCTGGTCGAGAAGATCTAAATGCTTGTGCCAACCTTTTGAAACAGAGGCAATTATCCAAATGTATTATTAATATGCTAACACTATTACTTTATACCTCGAGTTATAAATGTCAGCACGGCACGTCCAAACTCTCATCCTCTTTTCTCGAAACTCTCGTAACCTAAAAACTATCTTCCCCCAAACATTTTGCGTTGTAATTCGTAAGGCTATTTTTAGATAAGGTCAGCAAATCGGTGATCAACATATGTACCAAAAAAACATCCGCTAATTTCAATAGCCAGTATCATGTCGGTTTATCACCAACAATAGGACGTTGTTTTTGGTTCTATTGAGGACATATGCTGACCGCCGTTGATCTTACACATTTATTGGACACGAGGAGTACCTATGGATCGTTTTGTTGTTGTTGGTATTCTTGTTGTTGTTGTGGAAATTTTTTGTTTTGTTTAATTGGTGGAGCAGTTATATTTGTCGCTAGAAGGGTATTTATTACCTTATATAGTTTATGGGAATCGTTTTGCAGACACGAAGTCTATATATGGATCGTTTTGTGATGATGTTGTTGTTCACGGTATCTTCTCGGTATTATTATTCTTGAGTAAAAATCGCTTTTCTCTGTAACTACTGGATCAATTGCTTTGGAATTTTCAGTGGTTAAAGACTGTTGTTGTTGCCAGAAAGCTATTATATTTATTTATTACTAAATATTCGATGAATCCTATGCGATTTGATATTTCTATTCATGGAAACACGGCTTCCATTTCACCAAGCGTAACGGCCCTACGTGAAGACTGCCTCGGTTTTGACATAGTTGTTGTTAAGACATAGTTACATCACGCTTCCTACGTCTTTCTTTGCTTATATTAAACTGGTCCCTCTCGCTTGAAAAAGACTGCACACTCACCTTTCTCAAATGCACTGTAATAAGCCGATATCCGTTTTTGTAATTTGTGACATGTATTCTATTAGACACGAAATGAACTTATGGATCGTTTGGTTATTATGTTTTGGGTGGTCGTGGTTAGAATTTTCTTATTATCGCACTAGAAAAAATCGCTTTTCTCTTTAACTACTGGACAAATTCCTTTGAAATTTTCAGAGAGTTGTCAAAGAGACGAAAAAATTTATTCAAATAATATATCAATGTATTTTCCCTGCATATATATAGCGATTCTGTCAATCTGTGCAAGATTGAAAAAATATATATATATCCAACACGGTGGTCGAAACCTTGTCGTGGCGTGTCGACTTGTTACCAAAATCGATCAGCGGTCCAAACCAAACACTCCTTACAGGTGACAGGGCATTTTTATTACCAAATTATATCTGTTAATATAACAGAAACGACATGAAAAGCTTAAAAACTGCTGAAGAGATATAATATCACTAATTGTTGTTTGAAATATCCAGCCGCAATGTATTCAATCTCGATCAAACTAATTTTAGCCAGAGGATTGTTTTTTATTAACAAAGTTAAAAACACATGCAAAAAAGAGTTAACCGGGTTATGTTCCAGCAGAAATTGCTGGAGTTCAGAATTGTGGTTGTCTCGTGTAGGACCCCTACAAGTTCACACGTTATGAAGCTGTCTCTTGAGATCCCCACGTATCCCAGCAAAAGTGCTGATGAAATGCCACGTATATGTGACAATAGTGTGTATGATAACATAAGAACCACTAGGTGAACCCTTATTTGATATCACTTGTTCGTCTGACTATTCCTAACTTCCTAACTTTAACTGACAGGCCTGAAAAATTCAGTATAAATATGCTGAATGAAGGACAGGCATTCTGGAGATGGCCTCACAAAACTGTTGCTTTATAGGAGTGATTTTGTATATGTCCAATGATGAGCGTCTAAATCTCTCCATCCAGTCTTTCAGTATAGATTCTCGAAAATCTGAAAACTGTAATTCCAGCCATAAACATTTTTATCTAACTATGTACAGATGTAACTGATATAAAGTTCTATTCTGTATTGGAGTCATTTTTTATTGTGCATCCCCATCCATTTCAGTATGTGTCAACCTCATTGCGCTTGGTTTCAAATATTCACTAATATCCATCCATTCTGATGTTCGAACAAAATTGATGGAGAAGTAAAATAAATATATAAACATAGTCATATTCCGATTTTGAGGAAATATATTACTCAGTCGTTTATTCTGTTTTTCAGCCTCAAGACATGATAATGCAAAACACAGAATTGGAAAGGATCGTCATATATTTCAATTAATTTTAATTGTGTAAAAAAATTTCGCATCGGGCGTGAAATACTTTTCGTGATACATTTATTTAATAGCTTCTAATATCTCCAACAATCTAAACAAAGTTTGATGAAAATAAACTAGATTCAGATTCTCTACACACATAGATAAAATAATACAAAGTTAATTTGCCACAATGTTAATTTGTACAATGCAAGATGCACATGCAAGATTTAAAAACTATTTCCCCTGATGCATTCTGGTTATGACATCCTCTCCCAGAAACACCATTAGTAGCACCATTATTGAAAATAATTCGCTCTAGCGCTTTGAGGTAAACTATACCCTCAGGGCAAATTCATCGCTTCCACGCATCATTGCTGCATTTATTACAAAAGCCCTTGACTTTTAATGCAAGTTTTGTAGTAGTTAAACAGCATAGTAAAGAACATAATAGATGATAGTTTCTGTAGAATGGTTTTATATTGATTTTTCAAGAATCACATAAATCTGTAGGAAATTGATTCGAAATTTGTGGAACTCGGGTAGTCAGTAGCTTTTGATACAAAAATTGTTTAGAGCTATAGGCTCGAAGCTTATTTTACAAAAACTACATTTTGTATGAGTTAGCAATGTAGCCAATATTTGCTATTTGAAAAATGGTCCTTAAAAATTCTTGGATTGAAGATCAAATCCTTCAAATATGTTGTACTTTTCGATGAGATCGGGTTGAGTTATCTGACACAGCTGGCGGTGATAGCTGGCACAGATTCAATCAGTGACTTAACAACATTATTTCATACCAAGACAGCTTTAAGAATTACTATGTTGTTGAGCTAACTTAGTAACGGCATCTAACCACATCATTGCAAAACCACGCGATTAATTGCAGTGAATATGAACATAAAGCTTTACTTGTCATCTCTAAGAGTAAGTCCCGAGAAGACGTTTCGATCACATCCTTATGCTCATTGTGAACCTAATTTTGCACATTATTATTTATTAAAATTCTAGCACATCATAAGCCCGCTTTGCACAGTCTGTGCTTTCTGTCGAAATATAAATTGTGCCTACAATTCTTTATAATTTGCATGGAATACGCTCGATCTCCAATATGAAATATGCTATTCGAGGTTCAGTTCTGAAAACGACAACAACGACATTCATCGAGATTATATTCAGGTTGGTAAAACGCAATTGAATTTTAAGCAAGAGTTTTAAAATAGAAATCGCAATATGCAAGACAAAAACTAACTCTAAAGTCAGTTTTATGAAATTGTTTTATACCAAATCCCTCTAGAATGAATTAAGTTTATGTTAAATGCCTATAATTTAACTCTATGACATCACCTCATTTCTGTTTTTGCATTTTGTTTATGCTAAGATGATATGCTCTGAAGTATAGCGCGACAACTAACAACTATAACCTATATAAACTATAAACCTTACAGAAATGTTTCAAGTTCTCGCTATCGTGTCTTCGGATTTGTGACCGTGTTTGGCCTATTTTATATCACAATATTGGTTACCGGCTATTCATATTTTCATCAACATCATCAAGCAAAGTCGGCAAGAAGTTTTAATCGTATAATGAAGATAAAAAATATTCAAGGTAACATTTCAGCTTTCAGTAGGATTGATACCTTAACCATTATCTTTGTGATCAAAGATAATAACGGAATATATTGGCAAGTATACGAGACGGCAATTACAATAGTAAAAGTCACAGTCATATCTCATCAGTTTCCTATTTGTCTTGCAGAAAGTTCGATCGTTGTGCATTCGTCTACTACGAGTATACCATTTAGAAAATATTCACTGAATACCAGGTAACGTTTTACGTTTTTCATATTTCGGATTTGCTTACGCCGTAACTTGATTGGATTGTAGCTTACCTAAATACAGTTGTAAAACGTGCATGGACAAATATACGGCAAAACAAAGGGTGTCAACGATGTCAATTTTGCCGAGTAGCCTACATATCCCACTAAGCTCAGTTATGATTGCATGGTTACAAACGCGTTTTGAACAAATATTGAATAGTTTAAATTTTCCTATTTATAGCACTACCAAGACAATACTTCTTTGGGATTTACCGAAATCTGTTTCATATCCTGAAAATTTGTCAGTTTCTCGATGCGGAAAATGTACAATAACAAGAGATAAGACGGCCGTCAATAAGAGTGATGCGGTCGTGTTTCACTTCAATGGATCACGAAAGCCGTCGGATTTCCCTTCGCCAAAAACAAGGTTATTTTCACTAGTAATTTATCTGTACTGATAGACTACGTTGAGTATAACACTCTTCTTATTTATTGATTCACTTTACGTTACTTCACATCTGTTTGTTTCCGTTTACACAGAAATGAATCGAAGTTCAAAATTTTTCAAAACATTTATAACTAGAGAATAGAGATGTTTACATTTGATTTAGTTATAGTACTGAATGACTGATTTCTATCTGAATGACTGCTATTATCCTGACTGAAAATCACATTATCCTGAGATCCTCGCTTGCATTTGTTCCCTCAGTAAAATTTGAAAATAATTAACCCAAATTTCAAAAAAATGAGTTTTTTAGGGTTGATGATAAAATATAATTTGTATTTGCAGACACAAAGATCAAATTTATGTGTGGACATGTCGTGAGAGTCCGAAGACGACAAAAGACAATTATAATCTTGACCTATCATCCCTCGCGAACATGTTCAATTGGACAATGACGCACAGGTATTTCGATGTCTTCTCCACGATCGCATTGCTGACGCTGTGTACATTTTATTTATATGATTTGTTATATCACAGATTAGATTCTGATGTTTTCTATCCATACGCTGAAATCTTACATCGACTTCAAGATAACAAAATATCAAACCAGAGCGAACTTACTGACGAGCCGAAATATGTCGATTTATTTTATCAAAGCGTTGAATATCTTTTATCCCAGAAACAGCATCTAGTTGCTTGGGTTGTTGGAAATTGTGGCAACACTGTGGGAGCGCAAGCAAGGATGAAATTGGTCAATTCTTTTTCCAAGGTAAGAATTTATATAATTTACTTCATTTATCACCTGTAAAAGGCTGTTTTTAAGTTAGAGTATATCAATAGTACGATTAAAATAAATTGTAAACAGATATGAGGTGAAATGAGCAAGCGACATGATTTGGCATTATATGGTTTTGTTGCAAAACAGTATCACAGATTTGCATACACGTAGCCGATGTGGGATGATGAAAATTGGTGATTTGTCAATTAAGCAGATTGTTATATATTCACTTACTTTTCTTTAATATTTAGTTCGGATTGCCTATTCACAAATTTGGAAGATGTTTCAAGGACAAACCATTTCCCCCCTATAGATCTGAAGAAACCCATGCTATATTGATGAAGTATAAATTTTATCTGGCTTTCGAAAATACATTCGGATGTCGTGACTATGTTACCTATAAATTTTGGAAAAATGCTATATACAGGTGAGCTGATTTTTGTAAATTTTCATTTTTTTCGCTATAATTTTGTATTTTATTGATTAGTTGTGATATTCATAACTGTTTGAATTCAATACTATGATGGCAAAATTAAATCAAAATATTTTTTATACATAAATCTCGTTTTCAAATATATTTTCAATACCTTGATTTTTATTGAAAGTTTTGTTTTAATTCCATTCTTTGAGCCGAGCCGTTTTAATATGAATTTAAGAATATAAACATTTTATTATATAAAAGTTTACAATACTCTAAACAACAATCAATATACTCCGTGTTTCTAAAGTAACATGCCCACCAAAACGTTCGAGCTCAAACAATTGTTTTGGCCTTAACAGTGATGTTTGCATTATAGCGGAGCTGTTCCCATAGCTTGGGGTCCAAGTAAACAAGATCTATTACGCTTGGCACCGAAGAGATCTTTCCTCCATATTGAAGATTTTGAATCTGTTGGTCATCTTGTCAATTATTTGAAATATATCGATTCCAACGACACTGCGTATCGGGAGTTTTTTGAGTGGAGGGAAAAAGAAATTAAAATGGACTTTGACAAACCAAAACCTTTGCGAGAAATTGCTATTTCAAATAATCAAAAAGATTGGATATTTTCTCGCCAGCAAGCCTTTGGCTATTGTAAATTATGTCGAAAATTACACGCAAAAGACAGCCAAGTTCTTGGAGATATTTTCACTCGAAAATCAATATCATCACTTCAAGAATGGTGGTATGGTACTGAGAGTGAAGCCTGTTTCAAATAAATTACGATTATTGTTGTTTCATGAACAATCAACAATGATCAGGCACTTAAAGAGTTGGGATTCGGTTTAATGACTCATCGAATCGAAAACTCATGCATAAGCCTCTTTATGACTATAACGAAAAACTAATCAATCATGATGAAATACATGACACTATAACTATGCAATTTACTCCTTTTTGCTTCAATGTATTTGCTGGCGTATTCTTTCATATTAGATTTGTTAACACGGTGTCTCTCGTAATGTGAATTATATTTTATATGCTGAACCGCATGGAGTATTTCGAAATTTGTAATATTTCAAAGTATTTGAAAATCATTGCCTCTTTGTCATTATGAGCCTGAAATCGGCTTAGTTTTATCTGGCCTTTATTTCTATATTTGAAGAAATACTTACGTATGGTCCGAGCTGGGCAACTACTCATGTAACGTTGACCAATTGTGCAATGCGACCCGTTGACCCCATGAACCACGTATACCATAAACGCCATTTAAATGCGCCATTCCGTTTTATGAATGCTATTTTATTAATTTTCCGCGGCTAATATTTGTCAGTTCGTTTGGAAAACGTTAACACTTACCAATCGAGGTTCAGATTATGTGCGCTATAAGAATCCTGTTCTTCCTGCGCTGCGTATTATAGCAGAGTCGCGCGTGTAGAATATACATTGAATTTGAAGCGCTACAATGTTTTTGCTTTTACAAAAGAAGGGAGGCTTGGAGGAGGCCCAGTCGGGAAGAAGTGATCAAAATACTGCAAATTTAGTTACTTTGAATATATTAAAAAATGAGAGCACTTCTAACCAGCCTATTGTTATATATATTGCATGGGTGGCGTTTTTTTCATTTTAAGCAAGATATATAAAGCACAAACAAAGTAACATAACAATTTTTTTTTTATTTTTGCTTTTGGGTACTGCTGACACTGTGGTTTACTACTGTTGTGGGCAAAAGAATACGTTTTCTCTCAGTTACCACTAAACTCTGTTTTCCTCTGTCACCTTTCTTTTGACACTCATTTTATGATGAATTGTTATATTTGACTAATTTTATAACTTGTAGCGTGAGGTCTAGTGCTATTGTCAAAGAACAGCCAAGTCCGTCAAGTTGGGTTTTAGTAACCTACGTTAAAAAACGGGATCGCGCGGCGCAAATTGATATATATATATATATATGCGTTTTGTCAATGCTGTCATATGGCCCACGCTTGAAAATAGAGGTGTGTTTCACTAAAATAAAGGTACGAAACGTCTCTCCGGCAGATAAGGAGTTGATTGACGCGAGTTTAAGGTACGAAGTTCTGATGAAAAACGCGATTCATATCACGCCGGGCCCTGTTTGCACATAACAAATCATTCTCCTTGGCTTCTACTACCTTTTATCTTATTGCTCCGCTCAATTTTCCTTTCACTTATCGCTCGATTATTTGGAAAAAACAAAGCGCGACGCTTTGACACGTACCGGTAATTCGCCTTGACGTTTATAGATACAATTTTGAAATTCGGGATTTCAACGAACCTAATTCCCCCATTGCAGTATAACAAAACATATCAACTTGGGTAAACGTGCATGAATTCGAACATCCATGAAAATCACTCCTTCTACTTTTTAGTAGCCATAAGTGCAGATTTCAGGATTTCACTCCAAAATGTGACGCATAACTAAATTAATGAAATAATCTCAGTTTCGTTCTTGAAGCAGTGTTAATTGGTCGTAGGCAAATGCTTTAAATTTTATTGATAAATCAAGCAGGGTGCCTTCCTTGATTTCTGCCTTTAAAAATAACCACTCAAATTTATCGTATATTGTTTCGACCTGAATTGGATTTCAGGACTTGAGTAAACTCGGACTACAACCATTTCAATTGCCTTGTCTACTTTCTTACGTATTCTGTTATTTATTCACTACTGCTTTTGCTTCAACAAAGTCCATGCAACTTTCTACATCAAATATTAGTATATATAAATTTATGAACTGCCTCAGTGGTCAAAAATGAACGTGCTGTTTGGGGACAATGCCCAGTTTTTGGTTGTTAAATCGAAGTATTTCAACAATCATAGTGCAGTGATACATCGTGGTTTGGATTCCGAATCAATAGCCCTGAATTCATTCAATGGAGCCGTCTTCAACGATATGACATAGGTATTCTTGAACACTAGAGTTCATGAAAACAATCTGAAATCACATTGTTTTTGAAAATATAATGTCCAAAACTGTTGATTTAAATATGTAAATTCATGAATGCAGCGCCTCCACAGGATTATCATTTTTAAGGCGCTTAGCTTAGCAACATTTGAAATGAATATGGCTGGTAGCAGCAGTGCTAGTCATTAAAATTCTCGGAAAACCACCTATGATGCAATAATCTAGTTCTTACTAAGAAGAAGCTAAATAAAATACGAATGATGCAATAATACACTCACTCATACACTGTATGCCGAAATGAAAAAAACCTGAAAAATGAAAAAAAAATTGTTTTGACAGACTTGAACCATCTTAATGCGACCCATTTTTACCGCTTGCGACCTATACTTTGGGAACCGCTGTGGTGTGAATTATTAAAGAGTATTTGGCTCTATGCCTATTGTTAAATCCCAATGCTTCTGACAAGAACTGCTATAAGCTCGTTTGTTGCATCCCAAGAACATTGTACCAAATGTTCAATCCGGTGAAATGTTAATCAATATCATGGTAACCATTTTGATTCACGGGAGCCAGAGCTTCGAGAATAAAGAGCCGCATGTGGCTACGGAGTCGCAGGTTGCCGATCGCTGGTTTACAGCGTTGCTTATACTTCCAACCTAACTATATGCAGCGAATGCGCCCTTCTATCGCATAATAATCACATTCGTTTTGCCTATTTTGTGATCTGATAAGTTCACTCCAGCATTTCACGGATGTCTATAATAGACAATGAAGTGTGAATAAAATTAAAAATTATTTGCTCTGTCGCCGTCATCTAACAGAACTATCAGAAATACTACTTTATTATCCGGTTAACTGTCACGATAATATCAGATAGCAAAATACCTCTCGGGTAACCGGATATTCGTTATCCGGATAATCTGACGTTATGCTGGATCATCAGTGTGGATTTCTCGAATGAAAAAGTAATTACAAATTTTATGCATCGCTATAGATCTCGCTGCTACCATTGTATTTTTTAAACTGTTTTGTTAAAATTTGCAAGACTCACTCATATGCAGACATGAGACAAGAAGTAAATTAAAAATATTCTTCTTCTACACTACACCAATCTACTGCCATGAAAAAATCGCTCAAACTGAAAGAACCAAAATGTTTAAAACTCTGTTTCTTAGACTGTCGGAAGACTGTCGGAAAACGAAGTTGTACGCTAATGCAAAGTGCAATCTGTCACAGTATTTTCCATACGTGAAAAATACTAACAAGGAAATGAACATGACCAAAACCAACGGCCGGCAAACAACTTGCCTAATGTTAGACAAGTTCATGTACGACATTTGTGCCATAGTTGGGAAACGCGAAACAATGGAGTCTTATGGAAAAATTTTGTCGTGTTGTTGTACAGAACCAAATAAGTCAGCTATTAAAAGGGTTAGAATGAAGCCGAAGGGTGGATATAAACATTAAGCTTGATGCTATCTAAATACATGAAACAATTAGAAAAAAAATAAAAAAGCTATACGTTAAATTTGGCCACAAACACAGAAACTCAAATGCAATAAAATGTCCAACAACCGGAACGCGCTTTCGATGCGTTTCGGCTACAGCTCCCCACTGAATGTAATTGTGCTATGAATGTAATTTGGCAAACATAAAAGAATATCATCATGTTCGACTAAGATTTTACTTCAAAACGCGACCTTCAAAACATTTCTACCTAAAATATAAGTGAAAATAATTGGTATGTTTCAATAATTGTGTGCGAACTTTTCATAGGGCGCCATGTTGGATGGCCGAGTATAATACGCACAAGATGGAATCCATTGTCTGAGCGTTGCCTCGCTTGTAATATATATATATACGCTTTGACCAAAACCAGCAACAACAACATAAAAAAACAAAACGAATCATATCTACATTTGTGTCCAATAGATTATTATCTCTCCGTGTAAATTTCTCTAATTATCATTGTAAAATTTTGCCGAATTGGATCATAGAGACTCATAGCACATCCGCGTCGTTTCAGGCTTTCAGCCACCAACAATCGTAAAGTTGCCGTTGTGTAGAAGCCTTTGGCACTGTTTCGACTTGAAGTCGACTTTGGGGTGTTCAATATAACATTGCTTACACAGATACCGGTATGTCACGCAGAAGGCGTCGTGAAGAAGATGTCAACGATTCGGAGGGCGAAGGTTTGGATGAAAAACCAGATGAGAAATCAATGAACGGCTCGGTAAGTACCGTACCGATGGACCAGTGTTATTTGCAACAGCGGTACCGGCTCCTGGGCTAAGTGAATTCGTCAATATAATAAAAACTTATCTCTCGTCAGTTAAATACCTTTTAGTTTGTGGTCATGCGATGAAAAGAATAGTAAAGTCTGTAAGTCTGGTTTTTCTTAAAGCTTTCATGGCTTAGTGAGTATGACTATCGTCGCAAATTTATTATTCCACTCCCCACATTATCTTTGCATGAGGTTGTAGGTATTGGTCATTATCAACGTAATTGTTGAAAGAGAGTACAACAGCCCGAAAGTTTATTACTATCGTGTATTTTGTTTGTTAAGTTTGGCCCAAGCCTCATTTAATTGGGCTTGTGTTTTTGTGTGCGTGCTGGTGGGCAGGCACATGAGATACTTCATGTTTTAAACTTTTTTGTAGGTTTTGCTTGCCCTCCAGAATTCTCCATTTTTAAATTAGGTTTGTTATGGAGTTTTCGAAATAAACTATCTATCTATCTATCTAAGTAGTCTACTCAAACAGGAAAACAGTATCAATGCGGATGATATTCGATGCTTCAGTTTTAAATTCTTGTAGTGAATGCAGGAATGGTATAATGAATGTCATATTTTGTAGCTATTTTAGTAAATCTGTATTTTTTACACTGGTTGAACTGAACTAAGTGAAACCTCAAAACAGTTGTGTTTTATTCCAGTACTGTACCGGTATTCAGGGAATGATTTATTAATATAGATTGGTGATTTCTTTGGATTTATGATTTTTATTGAATATATTTTAACCATATTTTAGGAATCTGATATTGATGACGATGACCTCGACGTATCGGAATATGAAAGCGTAGATGAAGAGGTAGCCTTATTATATTTAACAGTTATAATTGCATTAATCAACACACTTCACACATCAGCACATACCTATTTAAAGACATCAATTATAAGCATGAATACAAACTTCTACTTTGCGGGTCAGCCTGGCGGTGTGGTCCTTCCATGTTGCCACTATATGGCACACCGTTAAATATAAAGAAAGCTAATTTATTGTGAATTAAATTCAAAAATTTTCTAGAAAAAATTTATTCTACAGAAAAAATATTTTACTGTAGCATTCAAGAGTTTTAATTGAAAAAACAACAAATGGGAACAAATTTCATACACACAGATCACGAGATCTCACGCATCTGCTTTGGTGCCAGACGCCATATCTCGGGAGTATTTGTTTTATGTTTTATATATCTGAATATTGGAACATTCTTCGAGAACATGTGCTATAACAGGGCTACTCAACTATTTTTATCGAAGGTCCGCAAACAAAACGTTAAAATTATTTGGGTCCGGTCTTCCAGAAATGATATTTCGGCATCCTTAAACGAGCACTTCCTCGACCGACTAATGATTAGTAGCAAATTAAAATTGTTCATTATGGTGTTATAGTTCTTTTCGTATATATTCAAAACTATGAAAGTCATTTTATAATAGGAAATTCAAAAAGTGGGGCTAATGATCCAAAATAAATAATTAGGTGCGGTCCAAATAAATGTAAATCTGTAAATCATGAATGCCAAAGCGTTTCCAGACCGGGGCATGATTTTATAGTTTTCGGAAATTTTACTTTGTATTTTTATGTAGTAAGCCTTTTACTAACTTGTTTAGCTATTGTATTACATTCATATGGACAAATTATATGTAGGCCTACATGGAATTGTATAAAAGCCGCAGAGGGATTTGCGAGTATCAATAGAGAAGAACCTTATAAAACATAACAACAATTGTCGAGTGGTAACAGAGTTTTCTGTGTTTTGAGGGAAGAATGAGGAGTTTTAAAAATAGGCAAAGAGAGGAGTGTATAGAAAAAACTTCTCAACCACTCGATCTGTCTATTTGAATCTTAGACTGTTTAGAACAGGGGTTCCCAACCTGGGGTACTTGGATGGCAGTCGTGTTTTTGTGTTTTTTTTTTTTTCAATATCCTCTAACTGAGAAAAACTAAGTAACTACCAAAGGTAAATGTTTGCCAATTGAAACTCTGCATAGATTTTCCTGTATCTTGCGTTGTTGTGCTTGTGATTGTGACGCAACAATGTGAAATGCACAGCTTTGCAGCCAAACTGTGAAATCTCAGAAGACAATATGCTGCGATCATTGCAGAAAGTGATATGCATATCGAAACTTGAAAAGGTTACAAGAATTCATTAGTTAGGCGTAGGACAAGGGTAATAACATTAACGCGAACAGTTAATTTAGTCACAGCAGTTGGTCAATAAATTGTCGTAGCAGAAAATTGTCAGACAATATATCACAACTTTGTTTGGTTTCTGATTACTGAGGGTTCGCTTTGATTGTTTCGTGACTCGGGGGGGTAAAAAGGTTGAGAACCCCTGGTTTAGAAGAACCATGAGTCTTTTTTATTTTCGCTTTGCTCGACCTGGGCTTTCTCTCTCGGTTTATATTAATATTGTTTTTTTGTTCTATTTAGGCTCGGCATTCAATAGATGAAGAATTTGAAGAAGACGACCCTGGAGGAGAACAACCAGAAAATGATAACGAAAAAGTAAAGGAAGATCAAGGCAAAGAACATAAAAACATAGAAATAAAACAGGAAAATGAAGAAGTTTCTGAAACTATAAGAGAGAGTGGTGATGGAAAAGTACGCGTGGTTGTTTCTCAAACATTTAATCCATCTTTGGTTTGGGTTTAGAAATCAATAGCTTTGAATTTATTTTGACTAATACTAAACAGATGGTACTAGGACATTGTGTATTAAACTGCAGGTCCTTTCATTGAACTGTAGGTTCTTTCTCCGGTACTCCCATAGTGTGTGTACCAGGATAGGATTAGGACATAATTTTATTCAGATTTTCCTTATTTCAGTTCTATTATAAGTTAGGGGACTGTCTGTATTAGCCAAATGAATATACCCCACGCCCATATATTTCAGTCCCTTCACACAACTTGAGGTAAAAAAGGCGAACAAAATTAGTTACCTCCATATTGGTACACGCACTTCTGGAGCGCCCTTTCTCCTTGTCTACCTCCTGCTTCGAATTCTTGTGTCCTTTGCCACAAGGATGCTTGAACGATATGGTATTAAAGTGATGAATAATGGATTTTTCCCACAAAATAGCCAGTATATTGAGAGCTTTCGTTAGATCATAGTATATATTAGTTTCATTATCTACCAGTGTATTAATCATTTATTTATCGTGTAATTTTTTATCTCAAATTAACAGGAGCAATCTGATAATGAGCAGCACAAACAAGAAGAAAATTTAGAAGCTGAAAATGAAGAAAAAGAAAGATTGAGAAAAGAAGAAGAAGATCCTGCATTTATTCCAACAAAAGGAGCATTTTTTCAGCATGACATGAGATCCGAGAACCAGTCCAAAGGGTAGGGCTAAGGATTTATTATGTATGTGATCTATGTGTGTCCATGAGCCTGATATTCATGTATAACTTGCCATGTTTTCACTAGAAGACTGGAATTCAATGATATTATTTGATTTATGGTATAACCGGTATATAACCTTTTAAAAATTAAACAACTGATCTGCAAATATCACAGAAAGCTCATCGTGCTAAGCGTTCGGAATAGGCTAGCCACCACCTCTGATTATCCTATGTGGGTTCAAATCCCATGGATGGCAGTCGAGTTTTCGTAAATCTTATTCTAAATAGGTGCTCTTTAGCTTGTTCTATACTAATAGGCTTATTTACCAAAGTACTTGAATATAAATTTACAAGACTTTAATAAAAATCATAAATATAGTTCGACGATTTACTAATTGAGGTTTTCACTATTATTCACAGTCGAGGCCGGGATCGCAAAATCTGGGATAAAGGTCCAGTGAAATGGTCTCATGACATGTTTGTTATGGAGGAGCAAATGCCAAAATCAAGGGACTTGTTGATATCTTTATATGGATATGACATACGAGAGAAAGGCGGACCACCATCTGATGTCAGAAGGCAAAGGTCAGAATATTCATATAAGCCTACTCCATTATTTCTTCCACCTGAGAAACACGCTATTATAGTGACAAAAGTTAATGCTATCAAATAGTTATTTTAAGTGTGTAAATACAGTAGTTACATTTTTTGTTACCTTAATTGAAAGAGTTAATTTCTTTGAAAAATAAATGAATCCTATTTTGAATTTTTCGCAGAGTATTTACTGTGAGTTTTGAGAATTACTTGTTTATATGCCGTACCCAAAGGAAAATTTCATTCTACCAAAAGTCCTTAATGAAATATGCTCTTTAGCATTTAGTCGCGAATTGGTATTAATACCTAATCCATAGTATATCCAAATTTCAATATTCAATTTTCGGTGCTCCAGAAGTATGTGTACCAATATGGAGGTAACTAATTTTGTTCGCCTTTTACATCAAGTTGTGTAAAGAGACGAGTGCCTATGAGCAGGGTGTATATTCACTTAGCTAACACAGACAGTCCTCGAACTCGTAATAGAACTAAAAGAAGGAAAATCGGAATTAAAGTATGGCCTAACCTGGTACACATACTACGGGAGTAGGCCTACCCAAATTTCAATGAGCATTTATATACTCACATACCCAGACTATAATGAATTTATTTTGCAATAAGATTCTTATCCTCTTATAAAAATTAGCATCTTTCACTCATCTACTGCTTGTACAGAGCCTTGTTCAGAGTCAGGTATGATAGCAACTTAGTTGAAATGGTAAAAGTTTCTTGGGTTATCACATATGCAATTAATTTATGCATTTTTATTCTACTAAACTTTTTACCCTATATTGTCTGCCTTACCAAGTGTTTTTTGAAAATGTTTTCATCCTTTTTAGGGGTCGTGGACGTGGATTCCGAGGGAGAGGTATGGGTCGAGGAAGAGGTAGAGGGAGACCAAGACCTGAAAATTTTGAAAGAGAACAAGAACATACTGAGACCAATAACAATCATTCAGAAGGCTATCAAGTAAAAACTGATAATTAAAACCTATTTTTTTTAATGGACTTCTAGTTTTCCTCGAACAAATTTTACTTGAACAAATAAACAAGAGAGCAATGATCAAATATATCGACACAAAGTTTCAAAAATTAACTAAGTGCAATGTACAACTCACATCGATATATAACCGGGCATCGTGTTTGCAAAATCTGAATAAAAGTCAGCCTGAGTACTAAGTACTGAGAATTCAAATATGTTTCTTTTCTGTACCAAAATAGTCCCCAATAACAGTGATTTAGATTGGCTGGTTCTCAAGCGAGGTTCCGAGGCACCCTAGGGTTCTGTCAGTACAGACCGGGGGTTCCGCAATTCTTCATTCAAATCTGAGAATTTTATATTATAGGCTTATTATCTAAATAATATAATCAATTATCCGTTAGGTTTGTTACTATTATAAAACTTGCTACAATTTAAAAATCATTTCATATTCAAGTATTAGATTTGTTTATATGTATATATTTAGTAATAGTTTATATAATTCAGACCATAAAAGACAGTTTAACTATTGCACAGGGATTCCTCGAGCTTCTGAAATGTTTCATTGGGTTCCGCCTTTTTAAAAAAGTTGCAAACCACTTATATAGATAAACATTTAAATTTTAAAGTGAATTTTATACTTTGAAATATATTGCTATTTATTCTTTTAGGATGAATATCCAACTTTAAATGAAGAAAATAACAATAGGAGTTCAGAAATCAAACATAAAAGCAAATCATATTATAAGAAAGATTATCAACCACAAAACTTTCGAGGTGAGTAATGTTATAAATTATAATGCTATCGTAATATCGAAAAGTCTGGTAAAGTTTTCTTGTATCTCACAGTTTGTATCAATCATTAGTATCTTCCAACTAACAGGTACACACACCAACCAGATGATACCGAGAAATGTGCTAATGAGTGATGTCCATAACAAGTCAAATATTCTAATCTAGCGGAAGTTGGTTATATTCGATATAGTGAATTTTTTACTTTAGGTATTATTCAGATTATATTTTCATCTAAAACTCGTCATCTTTAGCATTTGACATCTCATGCTCAGGCAAAAAATGAACTTCATTAAACTTCTGAGTTAGAAGTTCTGACAATGTAAAAATTTGACAAATAAAAAATGCAATATTTCTCCAACTATGGTATTGGTATATATATTCTGCATCACTAGGTTCAATTTTCATCAATCTACAATGAATTCCGCCAATTTCTCTATTGAACATAAACCCATTTTCTATTTTATCAATTTAGAAATTGGCAATTTAATTGATTTTGTCCATCCGTGATACTAAGATTTTAAATTGAAATATTCTCATTAATGTATTCTCTGTATTTTTTCTATAGAAAATCGAAGACCGCGTAAAGAACAACCGTATAAAAATTCAGAAAATCAATATAGAGATGATCGTAAAACTCCTGAAGATAAGGTACAATCCTTTTCACATTCATAAAAAATGAAAATTTGAGGGCATTGCCACGGAAATTTTCTTTTGGCGTCTGCTCTGTTTCATTCTATATTAATCGAAAGATGTTTTTGTCTATGTCATCGCTTCCACTGCAACAAAAAACTCCCTCCCTGCATATGATAAACAAATATATATGTAATGCATATTGGAGCTGATATAATATATATAGTTCAAGAAAAAATTAAAACACACAAACAATCAAATTTTTTTTGCTGAGCTGTCAAAAAGTAAACGAGAATATCGGTCAGAGACCGAAGACTTATCGATCGAGAGTTAGGGGGTCCCCCAAAACAGCGCTCTTACTCCATAGTGACACCTTGTGTCCCATCACGAATAATTAATAACTTGCTAAATATACGACATGATTCATCTAAAATCAATAGGCTTCTGGTCCGAAATATGATGAATGCACATGCAAAATCTGGAGCAGATTCAATCTCGCTTTGCGAGATATCGTGTGCATCTAACAGACAGACAGACAGACAAATACCTATCAACATACTTACCGATTAAAATCGATAAGTAATAAGACTTATCCTGGAAAATCGTAATCCAACTAAATTGACTACTATGACTGCTATTGTATATTTTTGGTTGCTTTGCTACACATTAATTTACCAAGTTTCTCTACGCTTAATTAACTATGGCGTCTATAAGCACTTGATAGTGAAAGTGAAACTTGTAATTTTTCAATAAGGAAAATACGAGGAAAACAGATGAAACAAAATCTTCCTCAGAAGCGCAAGATACAAATGAAAACAAAAGCGACGAAAAGTTTTCTGATATTTTGCAAGTTATTAACAGTCAAGAAAATAAACAATCTAGTGCTTTTACTCAAAATCATAATTCGAGGTGAGTTTTCTCATTGTTATTTTTTAGCAGTTGAGATATAGTATGCTTTAATCTGCTTGTCTGACGATGCAAAATCCTTAACTTTTTAAATGAAAATGTTCTACTGAATTATTCCTATTAAATTCAAAATTTACTATATAGAATATTATGAATTTTGAATGTTTAATTTGATATATTGCAGATATATTGCTACTACTTTGTGCTCATTTACTGATGGCATAGTTACCTATCATGTACAGAGGGTTATTATGTTATACATTATATACAACCTTTTCTATTTGGTCTCATAATCCAAGTATATGAGGATGATGTACAAATTATGTGACTCTGCTTCGATTTTTTCAGGAGAAATGAATCGCATTCAAAAAATTATCAGACAACGTTTTCTAATTACCAAGAGGTGAATATTTAAATATATTATCAATGATTAATTATAGTCAATTGCTAACTATCAACCTATTTTTTGGCCACCCTCCATATCCTTTCCTTAAAAATTTTGTTCGTAATTACTTTGCTTGTTAACTCTCTATTATCAATCCAGCAGCCAAAATTGGATAAGCTGTGAATACCTTTTACTAAAAAGATATAACTTGATGTTCATTTATGTCATTGTCATTGGTTCTCAAACATTTTAAGTGCAACCCCTTTTTAGAATTTGTCAAGTCTCTCGCCCACCCTCAAATATATCTAGCTAACAATATACTAGTAATAACAGATAGTTAGGCAAATTATGTTTTATTCAGAAAACACTTTGAAAATACGAGAATAGAATGTAAATATCAAAAATAAAGAAATATAAATATCCAATATAAGGCGAGCAAGATCAAATCTAACAAATATTTTTATTTTTAATTAGCTTCAAGCCCCCTTTGAAAAATTTTCTACACCCCCACGTTTGAGAACCACTGATTTATATATATTCAAAGTTTAGCCATTTGTTGACGATTTTGTAAATTTGTACACTTTGTCTTTTCTTGACAGAAGAGCTGTCATTACTTTAACTGACTTTCCAATTGTATTAGTAATGGAGCTCGAGGCCATATCTCTGTATTCATACATTTGCCTTTACATTCAGAATGACTATCTTAAAAATAATCATATTTCTATAACAACTTTTGTAGGCACCGAAGCCTCGTCGGTATTCCTCTTTGAGACAACGGCAAACAAGTTCTCCCGTTGATAAACAAATGTCTTCTTCATCACAATATTCTCATCGACCACATGATGCAAGATATAGTAACTTTGCAAAGCCAGTGCAACCAACAAGCCAAAATACAAATTTTTCAAAAAAACCTAGAAGTATGTTTTTTGAGGTTCTTTTTTATTTTCGTTTTTATTTATCAGTTAAACTATTTTTCATCGAAATTGAGGTGTTTCTGCCATCACATTTCCTTATAAATATTACTTGACTCAACTCAAAAAAGAGTTTTGTATTATACATTGTTTTACACTAAGGATGTATCGTAAGTTTCGGATAATTTATTTTCTAATCAAATTTGTGAATCAGAAAATTATAATTTGAATATTTCAAAATCTGATTCTATTCAGTACGACATCATTTTATCGTTAACTTTAAATTAGGAATGACTATAGTTAGTAATTAATTATTACGCTATTGGGATTTGATAGCTGTGTTAGTGGAGGAAGAACAATCCTGTTCTACCAAAATTGAATAACACCTGAATTGCTACTTCTGTGAGGTTATATCAGGTTTTGCCTAGGATTAACTGCAATCAATCCAACGCCCATGTGTCTCACTTGTATCTTGTGTAGTACTACATCAAAAGTGTGAACTCAAAAATGGTATTAAAACAAGATGGCAATGGACTGCAGTCTGACTACATTTGTCATTTCTGATGTCCAGGAAGTTCAGACACTGTAAATACTGAGAAATCAACCAAAACAATAATTACTTTTTTTCATTAACAAATCCATTTTCTATCAATTTACAATGATAAAATGTCATGTTAATTTAGAATTCATTTGAATTAGTGAATTGTTCAATATTGGCCATCCCTGAATTCTTGAAATATTCCAATGAACAAAGTTAGAAACTTCATTATGTTGCTGAAGTCCATAGGTCCGCTCTCTATTAATCAGTTAATCATACCAAATAAAATGAATAAAAAATCATGAGCATCCATGCTAAATGAACAAAACAGTGTTCATTTATGCCACATGGAGTTATTTTTGTTAGCACTCAATTTATGCATGATAGTTTATGACAATTAGTTTCACAGAATACATACCCTGAGGCCAAATGCTTATGTCAAACAATTTATTGTGGTAGTGCAGTAGACAAATGAAATAAATGTGATTTATGACAAATTCTATATGCTAATTGTGCACTTCCTTCCTTGTCATTGCATACTAAATACCAGAGAATGACTAGATACAAAGGTTTGCGTTCTTCTTTATTACTTTAAATATATCCAGCAGCAGAGGATATACATATCGGAATTCACTTTTATTTGTCAATGCTAGATATCTTAATTAAAAGAATTAATGTCAATTATCTGAATTATTGAGAAAATTTTGAAGAGTAAGATATAATAAAAATAAATAGTGCTCAATCAAAAATATCTCATTGTTCCAACTTTAAAAGCTATATGCTCAGTATTAGTGGTTTCAACTTAACAATCGGATTTGACCCAAGGTGTAGATTGAAATTCAATGAAGTATGTACATGTGACAATCTTGTAGCTGGTTCATACAAGATGTTGTGATTATTCTCATCCTAGATTTAGTCTGATCTGAGAAAAGATGAAAAGTTGGGTGTATCATATCCCTACATCATCTTGTCAGCCCTCCACTTTTAGGGAATTATGTGATCTTGTAATATGAAAGTTTGGTTATTTGAATCGATGAATGAATTCATGACGATTGACGATGTACTTCTTAAGTAACATATTTATACTTGCATAATATGCACGTTTATTTTGGCACATTGATTTCATTTTTAATTTCCATGCATATTTCGCATATCGAATTTCAGTTGCTCTCTGGCTCTCTTATGTATTTGTCTTCTAACAGTCTGCCAATCATGATTTGATGTTATTTAACATTGTATATCATGCTGTTATTTGTTTGCCATCTTTTTAAAAGCTGACAATGCAGTCTGTCAAAGCCTGTTTTCAGACACAAAGAGAAATCGCCAGTCACTAATCTGAGTAACATAAAGTGATTTATGGTTCTATAGTTCCCACTGATGGCCTGATACGGCTTGGGTGTTTCTAGTTAAAAAATTAAGATGATATAAATATTGTTATGTTGGGTTAAAAAACTCTAGTTCGAATACCTTGCCCATCACCTCACCTAAGGACAGATGTAAAAAATTGCATAGGCAATGCTGAAAGATTCTGCTTTAAAAACCTACTTTGGGTTCAGTTAGGCGATCTATTTTTAATTTGACTTGTCTAAGCTGGACCTTTAGATTCCAGCACAAGATGGCAAGTCTTTCATTTACTCACTACTACTTAGTTTCTTGATCAAAAAATGGTCCAATTATAAATATTTTCACTCAATATTTTTGACTCTGAATTCATTCTACAATATGCTGACATTCATGTGTGTATCATGTGTGGAAGCTGGATATTGTGGTTGGATGAAAAATCAATTATGATCCAATGTGAAAATGCCATACCTCCATCATTTGTATTGTGGTATAGTACTTATCACACATTCTATTTCAGCACCCAATACGAGTTCATTGCAAAACCAAGCTATTAGAGAAGAGCCAAAAACATCCTTACAAACGACTACGGCTATTCAACAACAATTATCGCATCCATCACCTCCTATCTCCTCACAAATTGCTACGATGGCAGCAACGATTAGTAACCCACTGCAACAGGGCATGACCTTTACATCTGCTGCTGCATCTGCCACTACACAAGGTGAATCAATAAGTTATTGCCTAAGCATGGTTCTTTATTGTCTTGCGGCCTATGTCTCATATGCGCAATGGTTGATGAATTGTGCAATTCATTAGGAACACACTTGTCATCACATCTCTGAGTACCCTGTGAAGTCCTCCTCGATCTATGACTGTTCAGGTTAACTGCTGGTCGGTTACGGCTTTTTCCCCCACTGGGTCCCGCATATGGGACGAACAACTGGTTAACTATTGCCATATTTAATGTGGAGCTTGTGGTTCATCATATGAATAAGCCACCTTATCATCCTTCCTCTCCCGGAAATGAATTTCGAAGTCCTATACCATGTTAGTCATTTAGACAATTATCTGCAACAACTAATTTTAAAAATTATCTTTGCAGGACAGCTAGTTTACATTATACCCTTTGTGAACTCTGAACCAGGGAACCATTTAGCTTCCTAAAGTACTTATCAAATTTTTTATTTGTTCCCAGGTGCTCCTCCTGATCCAGGATTGATGCAGATGCCACAAATGCCTCTTCCATACAATCCTATGTTAAATCCGATGTATTTTGATCCAGGTAAATAAAATTGTTGATTTTGTACTGGCGTTAAAATAGGCGAAATCAAATTGATCAGTGCTGAATTAAATGATTAATATATATACCACAAGTGATTTCTGAGTGTTAATTCAACCTTGCTCACGTTTACTGATTTTTAGCTGAAAAAATGTATCCTTAAATTTAAAACAGTTTCGATGCGTTTCCTATCTCTGTACTAAGAGACATTTCTCTGCTGTCCAAATAAAGTTACATTGTTAATCTTTTTTTTTCTATTTAAATTTTGTTCAGCAACTTATCAGAGAATGTTGCGAATGATGTCTCAACAGATGACGCAAATGACAATGGATCAGTTACAACCGCATATACCACCCCAGGTACTTACTACTCAGGGTTATTTTATTCTATGTTTTAAGCAGGGATTTACAGAACGAATACCAGTATACAAATCTGTCTTTTTTATCGAAATGTTCAACCGCGTGCCATAGTACTGTCATAGTGCCTAGACTATCACAACTTTTATATGGCGAACAACGACTTCAGGTCTGGTTACCAGTCTGTGTTTGGTATAGATATAGGTAACCTATATTTGTTTCAAATATACCTCACCTGCATATTTTCTATGCCTTACTTTTTCAGATTGATACATCAGGAACAGCAATTCCACCTGAAGCTCAGACTATACCTCCACCCACAGATATGCAAATGAATCCATTAATTCCACCAGTTTCATCACAAGCTATTTCTCAAGGATCTCTTGGGTCAATTATGAGGCCCCCACCCCCTCCTTTGAACCCACCAACCTATTTCACTGGGTATGTTCTTTTCTATATGTATATATTTTTGCACATTCAGATATATGTTGTAAAATTTTGTAAATGCTTTCGAATTACTATTTACTCAAAACTGATGTCAGAAATAGCCTATTTTGGGTAAGATTTGAGAGATGTGGAAATTTCAAGAACGATTGAAGGTTGCATTGAATCGGATATATGTCTTACGGAAAGTGTTATTGGTTTATCATTCTAGTCTTGTCATCATTATTAAGACGTCGTGTTTAATATGATTTTTTTCAGCCCAATTTTATTTGACAATTTGTACCAAACAGCTTTAATAGATTTTTGTTGTCTCACTGAGTATGCTCATTGGCCATCAGTTAGGTAATGGGAGAAACTATATATCTATCATTCCTCTACGCTTTTGCGCCGGTAGATCCATATGCGGTATAATGCAGCGGGGATGTAGGACTTGGATATATTCTAACGGATCCAAAGAATCTTGCTGCACACTAACACAAATGTATTTGCGAAACGTTTCAGGTCAGATGTCTTCAGGCAAGCTTATTTCAACTATGACAATATGGCATGCACATAAAATAATCCAGATTGGTGATTGTGTGCCGCAAGACTTCAGAGTCACAAATATTCTTTCAGGTTTAATTACCCTCACAAAAATGAACTTAAATCATTTGCATTATTTTGCAGGCCGATGGGTATGAACATGGGAGTGCCGCAGCAACCGTTTCCGTACCCCCCTAACCTTGTTGCTCAACAGGTTGGGGGCGTGACGTATTTTAATACACCCACACAGTCCCCACCAGCAATACCCCAACCAGTGCCAAACCAACACCAACAAGCGTCACCTCGTAGGAACGCTGCTATACCTATAATGGCACCCATGGGGTTCAATGGGCCTTCAATAGAATAATAAATAAATGACTGAAAATTTATTGGTCAGTCCTAGACCTCAGTAAGGTAATCATGCCTGTGGATGGTGTATAATGCACAGTGCACACTATACTTGTCTGTGGCCATATGTGCAGAAAGCGAGAGGTCAAAAGATATGCTGGCTTGTTTTCAAATGAATTTTCTTGTGAACGATGCCCATATGTATTCACTGTTCGGTATTAATTTAGATTCATTTATTCAATCGCTTAAAAGTACTGATGCAGCTCAAATGATTATGACTGTTCAGCTCATTTATGCTTATTCTAATTAATTTTTATGGATATAGTCTAATGTTTGTTCCAAACTTTAGTGAAGTTATATTTCACAGCACACAGCCTTGATTTTGGAATTCATGGGTCCAAAACTTATCTGATATCTATAAATTTTTTGATTTTTGAAATGTGTCATGCGGTCCTGGGACAAACTGCCTATCCTTGATTTCCTTATTACCGTTTTTCTTTTATTGCTGAATCCATATATGACCCATGTCACAAGAATGCTTGATTGAGGTAAAGTGAGGGTTTGAAGAAGCTAGAATACTAGAAATATGGATTATGTGGAATGAGATTCTGCTTTTTCATTGCTATTATTATTTTCATCGAAGGTAGTATTTTTGCGTTCCTGGCCTAAAAGCTGGTTTTTACCGCCAACGTTAGTGAAGCCGTATTTCCCCTTTTGATTTTTGATCCACTTATTTTACTATGTGTGTGTACCATTGTAACCATAACCGATGTAATATAAAAACCTATCATGGTAAATTGTTAAAACAACATTACTTTTTTCATTTTTATGTTTTTTATTTTAAGTTGTAAATTCGTTGAACGTTTTATAATTTTATTTTTGATTTCTGCTATTAAGTTTAAAGTTAATAATACTTTAATAAAACGCGCCTATTATTTTTTAAAACCTTTTTGGATATTTTTTTTGCTTGCGACAAGTGTTTTTTTTATATTTTTTTACAAATATAAATTTTTTCGTGTGGTAGGCACAAAGATTGATTTTTTTTTACCAATCATGGTATAAATCTCACCTTAACGACATCTCACAATATCCTTTCGACTTTTGGTAAACGTTGAAGTTATATACTGAAAACAACCTATGGTTAGCTTTTATTTGATGATCAGACAAATTTTTTTTTCTCACCATTTTGTTGCATCAGGGTAATTCGAACTTTTAGGGAATGATAAAAAAAGTTCTTCTATCTACAATGTTAAGTATCCATTATATAGCATACACACTTTTCAGTTATTTGTAATTCCCATTGACTATCTTAAAAAAAATTCAGAGTCATAGCTGATGAATGAATATGTATTTTTTCATTTTCATATTTCAGCCTGAACTAACCAAAATCTAGATATCATGATATAAATAAATTATGATTTTTTTTTCAATCTTGAATAAATTTGCATTCTAGATATTATTCCACTCGGACTTGTCCCATTCGGTGTATATTTCCATTTATTGTACTCAATTTGTATTGAGCTATCATCGATTCACAGTTTAGTTGGTACTACCTCGCCAACCAAATTGACCATGTTGACTTTGGTTGCTTTAAATAGTCTGGTAGTCGAAATTTGATTGTGGTTTATACAAACATATGTTTGAAAGAAGTTTTGTATCCTTTTTCTTAGCGTATATATTTGTAAGAAAGTTTTATTTTCGCATGTGATGAATTGATTCACTTTCTAGCGAAATCACAAAATGTCCTGATTTCAAATTTATCATGAATTATTCAGCTTTCCCAAATATGGTAAGTATCACTAAAATAACTGCAAGCAATGAAAGAAAAATTGCTTTCTTGTTGATCTCGTCTCATCAGATATTTTCTATAACAACTAACCATTAGAACACAACTATGCCACACCAGTTTAATTGATAAAACGTACATCTACAAAGGATCTGCTTCACAAGATCATGTTGTAACACTCTGCTTCTGATTACATCCCACTTCGTTGTGAAGTCAAATCGTACTTACAAAGAAGAGCCGACGACACGATGATAGGACTGCCATTTATTTATTTATTTACCATTCTTTTGTTATATTTTAATTATGTTACTATTGTTTAATTACAAAATGACGCAAATTATGAGCAGAGTTAATGTTTCTTATATATACTATGTGTACTCTAGGATTCATCACATGCTGGCAAGTTCAGTTGTACGCTATCGCCGATCGTTCTGAGACTGGTAAAATCCAAATCTTTTTAATGGACTTCTTCAGTGAGATCTCCGAGTTTAGAATAGAGCTATTTGCATCGATTGAGATTAAACGTCAAGGACTGGTAGTCGAGGCCAGGGAAAGGTTATGCCCGGCTAAAGTCGTGTAAAAAAATACTCTCGTCTGTGAGCTGACAAAAGGTTTCGAATATGACCAAGGGGAGTTTCGACTCATGCCTCAAATTTTCATGGAAGCAAGGCTTGCTTTTTGTCTGTTGAAGATACTTGGTCAATATCATGTTGTTGTTTTTTAGTTTCTCTCCGATATGAAATTCGAGTGTCACCATGAAATGTATGATAAGCTCATTTGAAATCAAAGAAGAATTTAGAGTCTGACCTCCATATCGATATTAGCACGCCGATCTTCATAACCCTGCTCTTGGTACATTCAAAATGCACATTGGGCACATCTACATTGAGGGCTAAACAGGCGTTGTGTGTGGACACCATGCAAAAGTAAATGAGTATATTCAACCTTTACCGGTTCGCCAGCATGACAGAAGCTATTCGTCATCTTTTCGTTAGTTTCGCTCTTCAGCAGAAGTCAGATTATTCAACATTCTCTATTGTGAGGAAGTGCTGTGAAGACGATGATGAACTTATTTGAATATTCTCGCCTGGTTTTCTGGTTTATATGCAAATGACGCATCTTTACCACACACTTATGGATTGGTTGTTACTAGAACTAGGCGTCTGCCCAAAACACCGGGGTTTATAAATTCAACCTATTTTGCAGTATCAACGAAACAACATTCGGCTCTATTCAATTATTTTTTTCACAAATATATACATAAAATACAACATTGTCATCAGTTTGAGCAGGGTTATGCGCTGAATTCTTTTCATAGTGAAAAAGAACGTACAATGGCAAAAATGGAAGTATTTGCCTCCTAGTGACTTCTCCCACCTAGTACTAAAATATATATGAAATCTGATTGATCCTTACTTGTGGAGAAAGGCGAATCTTCCCCAACAACAGAAGAATTGAGAAACCGACGCACACACTCTGTAAAGGGGGGGTCAAACGAGCATATCGCACATATACACCACGATTTTAGCAAATATTGACGTGAGTGCAAAAGCCTTGGGTGGAGTTTACGTGACTGTATTGATAGAAATATAGGCCCAAGCAGGTTCCAGCGGACAAAATGTTGGTGTATATAGTCTATACTTCTCTATGAGCGTTCTGATTCTTATGTATTGCAGAAATTAGAATCCGAGAGTTTCGTGCTAAACGTTGGAAATCGTTATAGGTGTAAACATCGTTTTTCTCTCACTCTGCTCTTCTAGAATAGATAGACGAGCGAAAACAAATCCGTAATCCCACGACTTGATGTTCGATTGCAGATCCTGTTGCAGCATTGTGAAACGTATTTTGTGCAAAAGCCCTTTATGCAGGCACGAGGTGATTTCATTAAATTTACTCAAGCAGACAAATATACAACACTGCCGTTTCGAAATTAATCCAATCCTTCTCAGTCGTCGCAACGAAACGAATGCCTTCACGTGTGCTGTACTTTTCTTTCTAAGATATGCTTTAGAACTGAATAAACCTACATATTGGAATAAATCATCACAATCTGAAGAAATCAAAACCCGTTTTTTTTATCTGTTTTGTGAGTTGCATTTAATCATTATAATTCATTTAAAAGCATTCTAATATGTAGAATTATATTTTTGATTAGCCTATAATGTTCGAGGATATAAATTGTACGTGATGCTGAATCATTCTAACAGTTACTAAAAAAGAAAGTGAGCAAAATGAAAGAGAGTCTTAAAATAGGCACGACTAGCTTTCAACGAAAGAATAATTTTTGCCAACGAAAACAAAATAAGTGTTGTTGTGGAAATGACCATCGAGTCTGATAGTCAGCTATTTTTAGTTAATGAACGCCTGCATCGAGCAAATTTGCAAAGAAATTGTCAGAGTGTAAATCCTATAAAGTCGACATATTGAAATCCAACTCCGGGTTCAAAACATTTTTAGCCCAAATCTATGCTTTCGTATCCGGACTGACGCAGATCTGACTACAAAATCTTAAATATCGAGTTATATCTGTTTGCAGTTGAGAAACCATATTTCGACTGTTAAGTTACGTCTAAGATTTTCGATACTTTCGAAACGCCAAATAAAGCGCTAGTCGTTAGCAGCGGCACAAGTAACCCATTTGTGCTGATCGCCGACTATCAGGATATTTCAAGAACGTGTTTGCGTGAAGCTCCTGAATCCCACCACTATTCTTAGGTCATTCTAACCTGCTTTTGCAGGGTCAGGCAATTTGCTTCTCAGATTTCGAATTTAATTAAGTTACATATATATGCTGTATTCTGCCATCTGATTCAATGGGAAATAAAAACCATAAGTTCTCAAGTTGCATTTATTCATTATAACCCGTTTATAAACACTTAATATGTTGATCTTTGATTATAATATTCGATAATATTGATCTTCTTTTCATAATGGTGCCTCTTCTTCATCACTCCAACTCAATGGCTAAAAAATATAGTAATTAGACTGAAAGTTAGTTCCTGATCGGCCTTTTGTTTTGGCCCATGCCTCCAGTTCTTCATAAACTTCTTTCTGGACTTCATAATATTTACATATTTTTATACGTCACCAGAGTTAAGTCTGACAATAACATGCATTCAAAATTTATCAGACGACACTTACTAGACAACTTCCTTTAATGCATTTTTGAAACTGTTCACATTCCGGAATGCAGCCTAAAAATACCGGAACAACATCAGATTAAATCGCAGAAAATGTCGGATTTAGAATAATATAATATGTGGAGTATTGAAACGTGGATTCTTATTTCAAGTCGAGGTATATTTGTTTAACAGCATTGGCTTGAAGTGCCCCTTTGACAGGCTTCTACCAAAATACATGGCAAGAATGAAACAAAGGACTGAAAAAATTCGCCTGAAAATTGCGTTGAATGATGTCTTGTACCGAGCTCATTTGCACAAAAATAACTCGGTGCGGAAGGTCTGTCGAGGCGGCAATATTTAATAGACCGAGTCCGACATACTGTATTCAAATACCCGACTTCGGGTACAAATATTTTATACATTTATTCTTCAATTGAGAAATCAAATGAATGATGATTTTTTACGGCAAGGGTGCCGTGTTTGAAAATAAAATTCTAGTATCGGCCTCCTGATTATTTACTTACCTGATTCGTCCTGTGCGTTGGAGATCATCATTAAAGCAACAGCAAACATCAAGAACAGAGCCAAGATCTTGTTTATCATTTTGACTTAGAATGAAGTTGTTTTAAAGCCAAGTTCGTCTAAAACTTTTTACTGAAAGATAAAACAAGAGTTCAGTATCCGCGGGGTTCAATTAGCGATAGCATGGTAAGTATACGCTCCCAACGGTTAAGTCGACGCGCCGGAGATTTTGCGCATCTTGAATCGCGCCAAGCGTTCCACTGAACCTTCGCAATTATGAAGCCCGATCAATTCGATAGCTATCAATCTCGTTCGACATATTCTTCGAATTGAGCCTTCTGTTGTGAATATTTATGCGTTTTCAAAGTAAATGAAAAAATACAAACGTGACATTTAAAAGCATCACGTCATGTAGAGATATAAGTCAATATGGCAACAGTGTAGTGCTACCGTGGACTTGAATTGGCAACCTTTGCCATTAGATGTTTCTATGCGATTGCTCCCGCAATCAAAAACTACAACAGCCTTGCAGCACTTTAAATTGTAGGGTAGTGTAATACAAGTCAGCGGCATTCAATGACTTTCCATAAAAACATTCAAGTCACCGACTGGTCTGAGCTAAGTTTTGCTCCTTGAATGATGAATAAATGAATTAAAATTGTCTCCACTTCCTCCCATGTTATTAGCCTTCTGGTAACGTTATCTAAGAAATCGACAATTGCATGCATATTACAAAAAAACTATCACAGGAAGAAACCAGTCAGGACAAAGGTAGAGCTAAAGCTGGCGTGATTGCAAAAGTCCTGGATTCTGTTTAAGGGTGCAAGGTAATGGTACCCCTAATTTTATCAGTCAAATTGACACATTACACACATTCAGCAGGCAGACGGCTTGTGGCCCAAAATACATCCTACAGATCGTCTTGTTCATTAAAAAAGTTTGTGATACTGGTAATTCCGCCAACCAATTTTTTGAATTAGTGATACCAGGGTCCTGAGTACTTACCTAAACGTCGTATTTAAAAGATATTGGTTAAGCAGATTTTGTAGTCTGGCAACCCAAGTTGCGTCTGTAGGAGCATATTCGATCGGACAGAAAGTCCTTGCGCAGGAAGCACGCACAATTGGTATAAGGGTATATCATGGTCTGTAAAATATTGATTTTTTGTATACGTTAAATATCGTCACAAGCGTAAACATCGTTTTGCTCTCACTCCCCTCTTTAAGTTATCCCGGGCTTACGAACGCAAACAAACAATATTTTAAAACGTGTGCGGTAATCTCACGATCTGAAGTTTGATTGCAAAGCAGTTGCGGCATCATGAAACGTTTTTTCTGTCTGTCTTCTTGATTCCCGCCTATCCAGAAATACGGGACTTGAACTGACCACCAGGAATCCGCAGTGGGAGCGATCGCCAATAGACATATTCTTACGCCACAGTTACACACCAGGACACCGTTATGTAAGCACAACTTTCTGGTAAAATGACCCCCAAAAAGATTCAACCTCCGCTAAGCACGAGATCCGCTGACATGGCGGTGGCGGAACCGCTACAAGTAATTTTTAATTGTAATGACGTCGAACGTCAAATAAAAAAAAAACGAACCCCATAGAGCCCACAGGAAGTCTTAAAAAATAAATAAATATAATTGTTTACTAGCGACAACAACATTCTTTAACCTCTGAAAATTTCAAAGCAATTAGCCCAGGCCATCAGTTCATGAGAAATGCGATTCTAATATAACAACAAGAGAAAAAGAAACACTAACAAAAACAAGTGGGATTTCAGGAATTAGAATTCGAGAAATTCGTGCCAGACGTTGAAAATCGTCACAATTATAAACATCGATTTTCACTCATTCTGCTACTCAAGTTCTCCCAGACGGACGAGCGCGAACAAACAATGTTTTTGAAACGAGTGCTGTGATTAGTGTTACAAGATCTGAGCTTCAGTTACAGCCTTATAAAACATATTTTTTATCTACTTGCTACACGCTTATCCAGCAATTATCGATACTTGGACTGACGATCGGGATTTCGCAAAGGGAGGGGGCGCCACTAGACGTATTTTGACACCACAGCTACAAACCATGACACTATTATGAATGCACGACCCCTGTAAAAAGATTTTGAATCAACTCGTTATAGCTTTGATTATATTTTGTCTATGCATGCCGCACGGCGGTTTGTATTTTTAGGTTCCATTACATTTGAACCCACGTACATTTGAACCCATGGCAATTGCACCTGTATGCTATTGCACCTATGGAATTTTTTTTGTTTTTCGGATAGTTGAACCCACACTAACCCTAACCCATGGGTTTTAGCACCCGCATATAGATTGAACCCGTGGATATACACATGGGTTCAAATGTACGTGGGTTCAAATGTACGGTCACCGTATTTTTACGATGCAAAGATTACCTATTCGGATTAATTGGAATCACAAGATGAGTCGAACTTCGAAAGTTGGTTCTTTTTGTGTTTTTGAACTTCGCTTGGAACTGAATACATCATGCAATGCTAAGACAATATAATACAATATATTCACAGGGTTCACCATCAAGTTGGTGAATATGTGGAACGTATTACCACTATTTTTTCATTTTGCCTAGAATTAGATGAGCTTCTCGTAAAATATTACATTTGGCTGTTTCGGTGGTATGTGTGACCGAGCAGAATAACTTTCAATATACTTTTGGGACCAAAACAATCGTTCTACTATTGATAATATATCATTGCAATTTCGCCACAAGGTCAAGGGTTCGTGAAGTCTGAGTGATGCCTACAAATTAATACAAGGAATAAAATTGCAGCAGAGCTCTGCTTTAGAGTTTAGACAATCACAGCAGAGCTGCGTGTGTCAAATCAATCGTCCACTTTGACTAGTTCCGCTCTGATAGCACGCTTTCCCATTCCAAATCTCGACTCAATGGCTCATTTTCAAAAAGAATAACAAAATTGAACAACAAAAACGCTTCCCCTTCTGTGCTGACATTCTGTCTTCAACAAGTTGGCGATCCGATATTAAAAACTGCCAGCAATAAATTCAAGTCTGAAATCTGGTGTCCGAATTATCTACTGTGGTGAATCTTTTCAAATTGACTCCGGTAACGATTATATTCAAATTTGTTTGTTTACCCCACAGCCACCTCTCCAAGCCCTATGTTGCAATTTGTTGGATAAATTTTTAAACGAAATCCATGTATTACGATTGAATATCACAATTAGAATTGATTGAATGGAAATGACCCTTGATTCAACTCACGATAACCTTAGTCAAATTAGGATTTTAAAAAGCTTCGATCGTTATTATTGGCTATTCGACCTATTGCACCTTTTCTAATTTGTGAATAATTTATGTCGGGGGAGAAGAATCGTATAACTGCAAGTTCATTGCTCGGGTTCGCTTAACCTTAAAAAATGAGTGAACATGGACATATTCGTGCCAAGGTTATGTCTGGTCATCTTGCGTTTTTTGCATATGCAATACCGACTGATTACTAATGACGGGAAGCGAGTATAGTAGTCTAAAAATTTCATTGAGGTCATGAAAAAATTGTATCAACAATTTTCTGAATGATATTGCGCATTCTATAATCCAATATATCGATTTTCAAGTTACCTAGTTCAAAACATTATTAATTTTTCGAAACCAAAAATTTTTTCTTCTTCCGCTTTTGGTGTAACTTACAGAAACCATTAATTTATTTTTATGAATTCTTTGGCTATTTAAGGGTAATTTTCAGAAATCGTACGTCATTGTCACATTGTTTAGAAGCCACTGTGATATCTTGAGAATAATATCTGAAACATTTATAAGTTGACCTTTTTAAATGTAAACTGACCTTCAAGATCCGCTAGCTTAGTTGTATTCTCGTTTTGGCGACGGTTTACTTACCTGAATATGGCTCTGACGGAAAATGAGAGTTTAAAAACAGTAAATATAGAAGTACAAGCCTTTAAATTGTTTACCGCTCTGTGAAAAATGTATGAAACAAGTCGTTTCAATATTTTTAATTTTACGTCCACTTTTAACAGCACTCGTTTAGCGCTAAAAGCGTCCGATCAATATAAATACTTTTGAATATCGATAGTGTTTTCTATGACGGTCGACCAAGTAACCGAATCGAAATTTGAAAGGTCAGCTTGACCTCTAGAAGTCGTTAGTTTGGGCGTTCCTAATAACGTCATCGACGAAGATCAGTTCACGACCCCACTGGGAATTCATTTGAAAGGAGCTAGTGCATTAAGATTGAAAGTCAGGCTGTGCGTAAAAAGTCCATTTTTGGCCGCAGCGAACATGCAAATTCATGAACAAAATTTATGATATGGTTTCAGTTTTCACACCTCCACCCCAAGTAAGGTTCTGTACAAGCAGCTACTGATAAGAAAACAAATTGTTACCATGGTGTGCTGATTTGTCTGAGCATGGTCGATCCTCTGTCCCCACTTAGCCAAGGATAAATCCATAGTTATCCATTCGTTAGTTACGGAAACGGATAATTGAAATTTGATTTTACCTCAACCTTGGGGTCATGGTTCAAGTAATGGACAAAAAGGACAGGACCTCCCAGTTGAACTACACAGCAAAAATTAAATACCAAGCTAATTATGACCTCACTTTGCAGTTAATGACAGAATATTTTCTTTCTGCGGCGACATATAGAATTAAACGTATAGAATTTGATAAATACCAAAGGGTCCTTGGAGACAACAGGTCAAATTACGGACAAGAAAGGGCAACGTTGACGCTAGGTGAAAAAAATAAATGGTAGTCGGTTGCATTTTATTGTAAATATTACACATTGTTGTGTATAACCGATGCACGTTCAGTCAGAAATAAATCGGTCGTCGTGTTGTTTTTTAAGCAAGAAATAGTACCTTGTAAGCATGCCCAAAGTTTATTTTATGCGAAGAATTGTGCATCAGCAAAACATTATAACAGCTTGCGTGTTGCCCTTTGAACCTTGTTGATATAGAATGACGACCGTTTCTCGACCCCAATTTGGTCGAGGTTGGCTCATAATATATTCATGATATGCATTTGCCCTTAGATTGAAACCCTCTGCATAGTCGGAAAAGTCGATTTCATATTTTTATTTTGAGAGGGAAATAATAGCTCGTTCGCAATTTTCGTATTCCCATGTGATATTACATATGGGTGAACTCGCGGGCATTTGTGGTTCATGTCGAGGACGGTGAAACGTCAAATGACACCGCAATACCATGTGTGGTTTATATCAAAATTATGTCATAAAACGTCTATGTATGTTATAGATTACCAGTGGCGACGGGGATATATTTTGAACGTTTGCAATTAGCGTTTTTTTTTTTGGAATGAACCTCTGTGCATAAATAAAATTTCCATTAGCTGTGCGAGGTCGACCTCAGGTCACCTGTGTTGCTCAGCGGACGATCATTCTGTTGTAACAACGATAATAGTAGTAGAAATTTGCATGCATTTGCTAATGTAAATTTTGGCGATAGATGCGATAATGAAGTAGTGAGAAATTAGCGCAAATTAGACGTCTTATTTGTATCAATTAAATTATTCCCATAAACCGTTGGGAACAAACATGTTGAGGTTTATTGGCACTTTAACTGGTAAAATGAATAATTTGGTGGATGGAAATATATTGTATTGGATTTTATAAAATATGATGAAAAATATCAACTTTTTCTTGAGGATAAATGGTGTTCACTACCTGAGCCTTGTATGTAAAATATATTAAACTATAATACATTATTTGAATTTTGTTTCAGAGTGACTCAAAGTCACAGTTTGTAGTTTATATATAAACAGTAAATTGGAAAATAATAGTACTTTGAAAATTTATTTGAAATCAGACAATTTTGCAAAAAAAATATGCATCGTTGGTTATTGTCATGAATATCTTACGCACTATATTTCGATCTTTTGCTTTCGCGGTCAAACTTCTTAAAATGCGGGGTTAGCCATAACCTAAAGTAGCGAACTAGTTTGATTTTTAAATAGAAAATTCCTAAAGGATTTCAATTTAGACATAAGCCTAATTTTTTTGATTAGTTTGTTAATCACTGCGAATGCTATCAAATCAGGTTTTCCCTCTTTTTCAAGAGATGTAACTCCGATGTTTAC